TCTTTGTGAAAGGGTAGCGCATTGGTGGCTGTGACGGTGAGTTTACCTTCTGTAGTTCTGTCGATGTCATTCTCGCATGCTCGTACTGATCTCCAACTCGAAGAAACCAAAGTTGCTGTTCACTTTGTTTCTCATTTGCATCTGAATTGTGTTTTAATGATGTATTTACCGCCTGTTGAGCAGCAACCATGGCAATGCATGACGGTGGGAAGCTGGTGCCTCTGCTGAGCGAGGCTGGAGCAATTGCCACTGCCACGGCCACTGCAACTGCCACTCCGTCTTTGTAGACATGTTTTACAGAGTCGTCCGCTCGATTGGTGACTATATGCAAGTGTTGTACGGAGTACTAAACTCGTATACGTAGTAATAAATAAAGATGAATAAAGACTTAGGCATTTCTTCATGTCGACTGTATTTTAAGCTTTTGGTTTTCTGCTGAGCGAGCCTCTCTGCAACTCTGTTTGCACTACCTCATCGTCTGGACTGCGAGCTCAATGCGTACGCCTCTCAATTTTCGTCTCAGTAAAAAGTGTGCCGTGTGATTTGTGTCACCTAAACTTGTCATCTGAAATGGTGACTGTATGAGACGCTGTAGACCTGCTGTGCAAAAAAGTCAATACCAATTCACGTCTCATCGACTAACAGCCTGTTAAGGAGACCGTAAAAAGGATCGTTGATTATTTCTTCTTATTTGGTTGGTGTGAGAGAAAAAATACTATTACATTTGGAAATTTACGATCGTTTTACGACCAAGCGAACAGGCTGTAAGCTGAAAGCTGACACCATCAGGTTTAACTCGTGAAAGTTGACACCATCAGGTTTAATTAAACTCGTGTAATAAAGTTCCTAGGCTGAAAACCTGATACCGCAATGGTCGACACGTAGTACTCGTGAGCTTGACACCTGCGTTGACCCATCCGCATCCGCAGCATATCTCCGCTTCTGGCCCATTGCCGATTTGGCTACCGGGATTTTGCAATTGCATCTCCGCACCGCAGCAAGTCGTACTTTTTCTATGAATGAACAATATTTTTCTTTCACAACAAATCAGCCAACGGTATTTTCATTTCAGCCATGTCTTAAGGCAAACCTTCTGGATCATCAAGATTGGACGCACAAAATAGTGGAGGGCCCTGCGTTCATGAGCCGCCACCATCGCGGCCCACTCGTCTCCAATCGGCAGAACGAAAGAGATCGCCATACAGCTGCCCGATTCCACTGGGGCCACTCGTCCCCAAAGCCTCCGCCACGGCCGCGCCGGCGAAATCTTTTGCTCGTCACGACGGGAACCTGGCGTACACGCATCAGAAGCCCTTTAGCCGGTGGCGCCGCGTAGTGATCCAAGCGAGGCGGCGGAGGCGGTTACCGTGGCGCCCACGGCGGCGCGTGTGGGGCGGGGCACCAGAAGGAGATGAGCGCGAGGACGTGGCGCCTGTGCCCGTGGCCCGCCTCCGGTCCCCTCTCGTTTCGTTCCACCATCACCCGAAATCTACGAGGCCCATGCCTGGCCCCACCTAGCCGGTCTGTCCGTCTCCGTAACACGGTCCAGCACCCCCAAGCGTGGGGCGTGGGTATAGTTGTCCATCGGGCGGTCCAAGTATGAGACGGCATGACCAGCGTGTGGTCGACATGGCATGACACGTCGTGCTTATGCGGGCTTCGTGCACGGCCTTGGCTTAAACCACGACACTACGGGCGAAATTCATGCTTGGGCTGGCTGCTCACACCTCAAAATGTTGCTTCCATCACACTCTTCTTAATTTTCACAATTGCATGATTCATTCACACTCATTCACAAGCCATTAGCCCAACTCATTCACAATCACAATCACAAATATAACATTCTAAACTTGTCACAGATTCTAAGTTATAACTTCTAAATAAAAGCACCAAAGGAGACAAGACAATTAAGATAAATGAGTTGTTTGTGCAATGCTGCCTCATTAAAAATATTTTTAGGTAAAATTCATCCTTGTGAGAAACCCTAGAAAGAAAAAAAGTGCAGCACAGCTCTTATTTAAGTCTTCCATCATCGTTCAATGGTCTCACAGATCACAAAATACATATAACTGAGACAACATATAACTCTCTCCTCTCTCAACTCTCAAGTCTCACACTAAGTACCAGCAGCAGCCCCCAAATGAACCAGTCCCAGATGTATCTTCATCAAGATACAGATTCTTGAAGGAGTCTTCCAACTCTTGGTTGTCAACCGTGCCATGGCGCCCTCGACCGCAGAGGGCTCTCCAACACCGTTCCTCAATGGTGCACGGGGCCGCCTAGGTCGCTCTAAGCCACAAGTAGAGCTAGAGGACGATGTATTGGCTACCGACCTGCGCAAAGAGACAAAGGAGGAGGAAAACAACAGATCAGAGACAAGAAATCAAGAATAAAATAAAAGGGTTAGGGTTAAGGTTCTGACCACTGCATAGCCGAGGCAGTCTTGGGAGAAGACGACTATACACCAAGTTAGCAAGAACGGCGAGTGGCGGAAAAGGGACAGAGATGGGGACAACGAACTCACATAATCACCGAGAGATCTAGAGGGGAGATAGGGAGAAGGGAGATGCAGAGAGGGGGATCGAGGTAGGAGGAGCGGCTCTCGGCTGGGCAGCGGATTGAGGTCACCTGAGTCGGGGTGGGAGGTCGGACACCGATGAGAGCGAGACGTCGAGCGAGAGAGCTGTGACAGTGGGAGTGGAAATGATTTAGGGTTAGGGTTGGGTGAGGGAGAGCGCCCAGTAAGTGGCTTATATCTGTGAGGCGGGGCGGGTGGGAGCCGTTGGGGCTAGCCAAAATTTGGGCCGCTTCTTCTTTGGGCCATGGGGGACTGGGGATGGGGGGAAGCCTCGGGCTGCTGCCGGGCCGACCTCTGAAAGCGGGGCCGTGCAGTGTTGCGGCCCAGCGGGCGAGTAGTGACCAGAGCACTTCGCTTAACGCCCGGGCTAGGCTAGCTGAGCCCATTGTCCATAAGGGCGGGGCCGTGTTTGGGCCAGATCAAAATTACGGGCTTCGTACCTCACCGTCGTGCCTCGAGCTACATTGACATTTATAGGCGTGGGCGTGGCTGCACCTTGGCTTTTTACTAATTGCACACGCACTACCGATGGCCGACGAGGATTAGATATTTCAGCGACGGCTGGTTGGCGGACACGTAGCCAAAAGCGAAGCGTTTAACGGAGGCGAGCTAGATATTTTCGCCACTGCTTTGCTGGGCCCTGATCCGATCCGCTCATGCTCAGCTGCTGACGTCGGGACGGGCGGCCAAGATCGCGCGGCCGGCTCGCCCGAGCGCGCCCAGCCGTCGCTTTGCTTTTATTTTACTCTGGCTTCTCCCGTCCTCCTCTTCTGTGGGATCGCCCCGCCGAGCGAGGCCCGCACGCTGGCTGCTGCGTGCCCCAACCCAACCCCCACTACTCGCTGAGGAAAGCGGAAAAAGCGAGGAAAATATCCTGCTCCAGCCAGCGAAGCACCGCAGGCCGCACCGCAGCAGAGAAGAGTGGACGCCATCGCCCCGCCACCGCCGCCGCCCCTCAATAGATTAGGCGCGGATAATGGTGCGGGCCGGACCGCGACGGGCGGAGCAGGGCGCCGCGGCCCCGGCGGACCCAGCCGCCGCCGCTGATAGTAGTATACCTGCTAATCAGCCATCTGCAGGCACGCGCGGTGGTAGCTCGCGAGGGGCCCGGGTTGATTGGCGGTACCGGCGGCCGCGGGGATGGAGGAGGAGGCGTCTGCAGATCCACCGACCGCTTCGTCGTCCTGCGCCTGTGTCTCTGGTTCCGGCCGCTGCTGAATCCGACGCTTCGGTTCCTGTCCCCAGTCCCCTTGGCGGAGGCGTGGTTGGTGTGCTTGGGGTTTGGGTATGGTGGGCGGCGGCGATGGGGATCGCGTGGGCGGCAGCGGTGTGGGGGTTGGGGGAGGCCAGCAGTTCGTGGACCGGAGCAAGGTGAGGATTCTTCTCTGCGACGGCGACGCCACCAGCTCCCGGGAGGTGCTACGGCTCCTCTGCAACTGCTCATACCATGGTTAGTCTTAGTCAACGTTTGCACCCCCTGTACTTGGTTTAATGGTTTCTCTAATCGTTGGAATTTCCCGATTTAGGATTGTGTTTGCTTCTCACTGCGGGCTTAATCATCAGTAGTAGAGTACTATACTACCAGGCTTCTAATGATAGGAATCTGTTGATGTCAGTGGCGGACACAGGATTTTAAAATTGGGTGTACAATACTGTAAAGCTTGTCAATAAAATTTCAATCAAGAAAACATAGTTCATAAATTCAGATGATAAAGTAGAACTAGTTTTTCGAATTTGTACACATCAGCCGTTCTAGGAGCTTGGACACGAAGTAAGGAAAAAAAATGTAAAATAATTTTTTAAATTCAAAACAAAACTTGGATAAGGTTGCCTAAATTTCATGTAAATTGAACAAATATAAATACTTCATAATTATCACAAAATATGCATAACCAGGGGCGGATTTAGAGTGGGGTGGGCGGAGCTCAAGCCCCCTACTGCTTCTCGTTAACGGAACCCTTTTTAGCCCCTCTTAATTTTTACGACATAGAAGAAAGGAAGGAGGGACTCTAAAGGTCGAAGATATGATTTGAGCCCTCAATTCTATAAAATATATCTGCCATAGCCAGCGTGGCTCCCTTTGCATCGCTGCTAGTGTCATGCTTTGCTGAATTGCCGTCTGGTGTCTACTTTCTCGCACACCGTGTGCCGGGCCGCCACCCAATGATGTTGGCGCCGTCACAAATGACAAACTCAATGGTTACATGCGTTCACTTGGGCGAAATGGTAACTAGAGCGCATACTCAAGGAAAGGAATCCAGGGCTATTTTTGTGTGTTTGGGTTCAAATTAACACCATGTGTAATACATGGTAACTGTAATTTTGTTGCAAAAATATTGGGTGTACATTTGTACACCCATGTCCATATACTACGTCCGCCCATGGCCCATGTGTGCTTACTGCTTACTGTTGTGCTGTTGTGATGGTGAACTTTCTTTCAGTAACTTGCGCCAAGTCTCCGCGGCAGGTGATCAATATTCTCAACTACGAGAGCGGCGAGATCGACATCATCCTGGCTGAGGTTGATCTGCCGGTCTCCAAGTGCCTCAAGATGCTCAAGTACATTGCCAGGAACAAGGACCTGCGCCACATCCCCATCATCAGTAGGCTGCCTTCCTATCCTGTGTCTTGTGCCGATTACTGCTTGCTGTGACCATCCTCCTGTTTGATGGAACTGTGCAGTGATGTCCAACAGAGATGAGGTGTCTGTTGTTGTCAAGTGCTTGCGGCTTGGTGCGGCCGAGTACCTGGTGAAGCCGCTGCGCACGAATGAGCTGCTGAACCTCTGGACCCATGTGTGGCGGCGGAGACGGATGGTAAAGGCACTATGCTGATTCACCTTAGCCTCTGCGTTGCTCTAAGCTGAGATGCTTGTAGGCGTTGCTGTACCTGCATGAATTATTCTTTAAATTGAGTACTGGTGTTGGCAGCTTGGTTTGCCCGAGAAAAACTTCTTCAATGACAACTTGGAGTTGGTGCTCTCAGAACCTAGTGATGCCAATACCAATAGCACCACCCTCCTCTCAGACGAGACTGACGATAGGCCTAAAGAAAATATGAATCAAGAAACAGGCACCTCAAATCAACTTGAATACGAGGTAATGAACCCAACATTCATTTGGAAGTTTGTTGCAGTCCAGCTGTCCAGATATTCTTTTTGCTGTTTTAGTATAGTTCCATTTCTGCTCTTTGATGTTGACACAAAGATCTGCCCTTTTGGCTCTATATATGTTGTATGTTGATGCGATGCTAACAATATACTTGTTTAAATGCCCTACCATTTCTTGGCGTGTTTCAGTCTAATCCTTCTGTCACTGAGCCTGACCAGAGAGACAAGATGGAGGGTGTACCAGGCTCTGTCCTAGATGCCAGTCAAGCATGTAAGATGTTTCAGTCGGACCTTTATTCTGCCTGTAATTACTGGTCTTCCTTTTTTATTGTTAATCACTTCTATTTCTCCATCTGTTTTCTGATTAATTATTTTAATTGCCAGCCTCTCCGGGAAGAATGTTTTCACGCCCTATAAAAACAAACCTGAGGATTGCTGAGTCATCTGCATTTCTAGCATATGTTAAGGCAAGCACACCAACCACCAGCTCATTTGATAGCGAATTACAAAGAGGTGGCAGTCGGTTAGATTCTTTGGATAACCAGGTAATTGCTCTAGTGCAACCGATAGAAGTGACACCGGTACTGATGTAAATATTCGGAATAAAGAAGCTTTTAAGATGCCTGTGCAGTACCCTATGGTATGCTTTTCTTCCTCTAACATACATATGGAGCGAAGCAATGAAGGCCATAATGATACTTCAGGAACTCCACCTGTATACCATTTCCCATTTTATTATCCAGGGATGGTAGAGCACAACATGGCAGTTTCATCAGTGCAAAATTTTCAAGCAAACATAAACAATGCTCAAGCACACACACCACCAACGATGCTTCCTCAGTACAATGTTTATCCTCAGTGCCATGGTTTACCTATGATATCATCATTTCAGTTTAATCCTGCTGGCATGAATATGCACTTAAGTTCAAGTCACTTACCGACGCAAAATGTGTGGTCATCGGCATCAAGCACACCAATGCCTGAGGAAACATGCAATCGCTCTGAAAGGAGGGCTGCAGCACTTGCCAAATTCAGGCAAAAAGGAAAGAGCGCTGCTTTGACAAGAAGGTGAGGTATGTGAACCGGAAGAAACTTGCTGAAACAAGGCCTAGGGTGCGAGGTCAATTTGTTAGACAGGCAAGCAATACAGGTATCACCAGCACTGGAGATGATATCTCTGAAGACGAAGATGACGATCCATCGTCCAGGGAGGTAGATATGGTTTCCTCTCCAGAGTAGTGGAGAGGTCCTCTATGTGAAAAAAATAGAGTGCAGATGATTACTGCTCACTTTGTTACAACTCAGTAGACCTAGGCAATACATTCTTCTACTGGCAACAAGGCAATACACCCTTTTTGCTCACACACAGTATAACCTTTTTTGTCCCCAAACAATGTGGCTGTTACTCTGGTTACTTCAATGGAGAAATCATCTTTTGATTAAGTGTAGTTTAGTTTTGCTAGTTATTGATGCACAGGCCAGTCTAATCAATATGGTCGTATTGCAGTATAATCTTTGCTTTTTTGAGGTAAAACAGGGCTATTATTGTACATTCCGCGTATCATAAGTTGGTTCTACATTTTGGTTTCCTATTCCATGTGTGTTTCCTACTACCTACACCCCCGCGCACAATTTGGTCTGAGACGAAGGATCCAATTCTGGAGGAAGGGAAACTAAGTTGATTAATACTAATCTGTTTATGTAATGTGCTCACTAGTTGGTTTATATGTATCACCCAAAAATTCAGCGGAGTTCAGTTCAGGCAAATTAGCCAATGTTAAGACTTAAGAGCTTTGCCTTTTAACCTTTACTTAAGGAGAAATTTTACGGTGCTTGGAAATAATGAGAGCTATTCGTTTGGCTAAATTGGATGGTTAAGAAATAGGAGGAACTTACCGAGAGGAACTTAAGTTGGGTCAGAACCGAAATTTAGTAGGTCCGGAACCGGCTCTAATTAAATTGTGTCGAGTAAAATGGTACTTTTGCGAAGCAAGAATATTGTCCGACCGACAACTTCACAACTCCAGCCTGCGGTGGATTCGGCCTGGTGGGATCCCGGCCCTCGCATGCAGGCGACAGCGACCCCTGGGCAGGCGGGCGTTGGCGAGACCCTGGCGGCTTGAAGCTCACCGCCTCACCGGCCAGCCCCTGCTGCGCACGGTGACATACTGGGCGAATTAGTGAATATACACACAACTGCAAAAGAATCGGTGAATAGTTTTATTGAGAGGATCGGATAAGATGTCACCCAGCCAGGGCAGAGTACAAGATTCGAGAATTCAAGAACCAGAGTAGCATGGACAGTCTTTAGAGCTTAGACGTTGTTCCAGCCGGTCGCCAGTTGACCACCGGCACGAAGTCACCAAGCAGCTCGGACGCCGTCAGGAGTCAGGACCTTGGTGTTCATGTCTGCTCCCACACGCGCTCCATGCCATGGAGCGCCTCCTCATACTCCGCGTCCAGCTCGCTCGAGGATTGCATCGCATTACATGTCGTCAATGATTGCATCGCATTACATGTCGTGGCCTGGAGGCGGAGGAGCCGCACGGTTCATATGGGCGAGCTCCTGCAGGAGGCCGTGGAAAGACGACGACCCTGGCCTGGGGAGTTGGGTGGGTGGCGGCGATTTCCAGGGAAGATGTGCGACGGTGATTTGCGGGGAGGCGGGCGGTACGATTTACGGGGAGGTAGGCGGCGGCGAGGGAAACAGCAGCGTACTCGCGGATCGCGCACGAGCAGCAGCGTCGGGAATTCCCTTCGTTGGCCCGAGCTCTATTAGGAAAAAGGGGAAAAATACTAAACTATCCTTTAGAATAATTAATCCTTTTATTATAATTATTAAGGGCTGCTAATTTTTCTTTGAGGAGGAACCGCACACAGTAACAAAGCTCTACTGAGTAGGACTTATTATACTTGCTCTAGTGCAAGTAACTTGGTATTTGTGCCGACAGAGAACCAACATAAGGCTCTTTGATATTTATGCACTTGTTAGAATTTAATGTCTAATGTACTGCGTAATGACATCTAATCATTTAACTATGTGAGAACTACAGATGTCTACTATCTATGTCATTATGTCAGTCTAATTATCTATGTCTTATTGTACGAACTGTGTGCATGTCTCAAGTCATATATTAAAAATTTAGATGGAATTATAGTGTTTGTATGCATATTTAGCTGCAGGGCAAACCATTTATACCGTCTACACCTACTAAACGCTAAATGAACTAATGAAGGGTGACTGACCGTAGTGTTTAGCATTTAGGTAAACACACTGGTGCCACACACCTCGTGTCGTGTTGTAGCTAGACCTCATGCATCCGGATCCAGAGGGACATGAACTCAATTTACACCGTGCTTGTGATGTTTCCACGAATGGTTCTCATGCAAGCATTGTTCATCGGCCTTGCTCCATCATTTTTTTTTTCTTTTTGCTAGTTCTAATACATGCAACGCGAGATTCTTAGGTGCCTCCCCACCAAGCCAACTGCAGTGCCAAAAGAGTGTCTTCTTCCCGTTTCCATTATTGATTGTGGTGAAGGCGTTGAAGAGCAATATGTCCACCGAGTTAGAGACCTCGCTCCATGCCCATGGTTTGGTGTCATCAGACCTCGCTCCTTGCCTATGGCTTGGAGTCATCAGTCCAGTCTTGCCACAATCAGCGTAGTCATGTATGCGCAATGCTCTTCCAAATTTATCAATGTCGCGCACGTAATTTGTTTATTTCTTTATATACCATTAGGCCCTGTTCGGCTCGCTGAAATTTGGCTTATGCTGCTGCTTATACTGATTTGTCGTGAAAAAAAAACACTATTTCTTCGCTAAAAAGTCCTGTGCAAGTTTGGTAAACAAGATTGATCGTTGAGCTATGAGCTGCGAGTTTTCACTTTTCACATCGTTTTGTTCATGCTCCAGTTTATTTCGGAAGTTAGAAGTTGAATTTCAAAGTTTGATATATGTAGTACAAAAATGGCTGAGGTTTCATCTTTTCCAACATCGGCCAAAAACCAGTTTTCATCAACCAGCTAGCACACGTGAATTGGCCAACTGGAAACCGTTCAAGGGCTCTTATATTACACACCAGTGGGCTTGCTGGTAGAGACGAAAACAGGCGGAAACCTTACTCATTTCCGTTGCCCTATCTTATCACAGGAAACACGAACATGATGAATCAGCAATAACTAAGCATGTCAACAGTCAAGATCAAAAGAGGACGGCAAGACCATGTTTTGGCCCACGCACCAAGTACATATTAAGGACACGACCTGTCAATCACATAGCATTACATATAGAGCCTGAATGTGCTGGAGAGATGCCATAGTAGTGCCTAGCAGTGTTTGATTTATGTTCTTAATACCCATTCAACATTCCAACCAACAAGCCGTGACACGAACTGAACATGCATGGTTGGACAGCTGAAGCTTCAGTACTTCGGTGCTGGCTGCTGAGTTGGCAGAAGTCCAAATCTCTTCTTCAATAGGAACCGCTGGCGAGAGTACTTGTCATCTGGTGAGAAGCGAGCTGCACCACAAGGAAGTATTTCAGTCAATCATGATGCGAGGGCCATGGGCACCCAAATTAATAAACAATCAAAACCACAAATGCAACCATGAAAAAGAACGAATTCCACATGTTCAGTTTTGCAGATTACATCTTTGTTTGGTCCTACACATCCACAATACAAGTGTTCACCTCAGGTAAACTAAGACAGGTTCTATCTCTCTATTTACATCTAGTTCAATGATACAACAGAATGAAGCTTTAACCTGGCAGACAGTGCTCATCGTAAAGCCATTCATGATTCACCAGAACTCTAGATTATGCAAATGCCTAGTGAGTTCATATTGATCATATAAAGCACAGGAAATTGTCACAGGAAAAGAAAGAATGATCTGTAGCTATTATGATAGGTACCGGTACTCTTAACTCCATTCTTAAAAGTTGTGCAAGCAATTTTTTATTTGTCTGCTCAAAATATCCAGAATCTATACTCAGAAGAAATTGAAGATACAGCATACTACCGGATAGACGACACAAATCGGTCAGGGGTCCAAGTCTACAAACATGCCAACCGCTCATAATTAGACAACCATGACTCCTTATACCCAACAAAAGAAAACTATCCAACTATTATATCTTGACAGGCAAGTTATAACAGCAGAAACAAAAGTAACTCCAGTGAACAAAGGCAGTGTACCTGGGTGAGCAGACTGCGTTGGCACCCCAAGAGGCGACTCCTTCTGCAAAGCAAGAACACAGACACCCAAATTAGCAGAGGCTAACAAGTAACACCCAAAATCATCAGCCATTCAGAGAAACTTAAGTGCAAGCTCATACACAAACCTTGGTGGTGTAGACCTTGTCCCCTTTCTCGTTGATGTAGTACTGGAGATACATCTTGAATCAGCGCAGAGGAATGATACCTGATAAATCCAACGAGAATAAAGAGGAATTACTCCCAATAATAACAAGAATCGCAGCAAACAAAAGCAGGAGACCCTGCAGAGGGGGTACTGAAGTTTTTTTTATCCAGTCTGGTACTAGTATTAACTATTAGATGCAATGACGTACAAAGAACAGAACAAACACATAGTGCTTAGTGCTTACACAAGGATGCAAAACAAAGATGAATCATATTCCTATCGCTGGACACCGTCATGAACAGCGATAGGACTGAGAAAGAAAGAAGCAGCAACCACCAAACCAGATCACAACAGGCACCTTTGCACGAAAGCCTTGCGTTTTCTTATACAATCCTAACTACAAAGAAATTTCTCTAATATTCCCAAATTGCTACTCTCTTATCGTTTGGTCCATGAACAAACTACATCTCACCATAGAAACTTCCATCAATTTTCCAATCATTAACAGGGCCCCTAAAATCTCACCGAAACAATCATCCTTACTTGAACAAGGTCTTGTGAACCTTACTTGCTTTCAATACAAGCAGAGGCAAAAGAATACGCAACAACGGGGCCGCCCAGAAGCCAGCTGCAGCCGGCCGTGCAACGGCGGCAAGAGTCCAGTCAAGACCAAAGCAACGGCACAAAACTCCCCAATAGGATCCACCGATCCATGGACGGAGGCGCAAACCCCATCGAATCCCGCTTCACAAGCCCACGCATATGATGTCTCCGCCTCACAACGCCCATATCAACTGTACCAGGCACAAAGGATAACTGAGAGACTTACCAGAGCTTGGAAGACGGATCAGCAGTTCAGCTTCAGCACGATACTGGCGGCTAGGGTTTACGGAGGAGACCGGGAGAGGGTATAATTTTATAAAGATGCCACGGATGAATCCCCTACCGTCTTCGCGACACGCGAGCATGGACGTCGCTCTGCAGTCTGCACTCCCTCAAGCGGTGCGGGCATGTACGCCAGCCCACCAGGTTCCTGAATTTGGTATTGTGGGCTTAAGCAGGAGCGCCTGCGAGGCCCGGTGGGTTAGAGTGGGCAGGCCTGCAAGGTCCATGCTACCCGCACCTGCCCGCTTTGCGTCCGCAGTAGTCGCGCACGCGACTGTGGTTCCCATCTCGCCAATTTCAACCAGTGAAGATAAAAAAAAATCGGCTCCAGTAGGTCCTTACTACATCCCCTACTTATCCTCCACTTTTCTCCCTTCACCCTCTATATCTTTTGGCCCCTATTCCATCCCCTACTTTTTCTCTCCTCCACGCGACTTCCCCGAACGCGCTCGCGACTTGTTCGTTGGTACGGGCACGGAAGCCCGGTGCGGCGGCCCTCCTCGGTGGCCCTTCCCAGTGCGGAGGTGTGGCAGAACCGTCTAATCTAATACCTTCCAGTAGTGCTCGTCTTCCATTAGACACTAAGCACCCAAGGGAGAGCATTAAATTACTCGGTTCTGTCGGGCACACCCCAGGGGAGAACCCGAAAATCCACATTTTTACATCAGGATCACAAATGAGAGAATAAAGCTTACATTATTCTTAACCAATTCTTACATCACTTTTAATACAACATCAGAGTATAATACTTATTACTATAACAACGGAATGTAATTATATTATCAGAGTTATAAATAACTTAATGTAACAGCAGAATATAAACATGTTAACAGGATTACAACGGAGATAAATTTCTATTCATGACATGTTGAAGTATTGATATATAAAAACTATGACAACAGATTATAAACTTTCATTTATAAAGAGTTATAAATAAAAACTACGATCGCAGCATAAAGGAAATCCTCTCTGAGCCCACCAAGAGGAATCCACACACAAGAGTCAGCTCTCGCATCCCCCTATCACCTACAACAGGGAAAATAAAACCCTGAGTACTCAATTGTACTCAGCAAGACTTACCCGACAGAAGAAAAGAAAAAGACTCCAAGGATATGCAAGGCTATCTGGCTTGTGGGTTATTGCGTTTGCAGGAAGCATTACTAGGCGTGCGTCCTTATATTTGATTTTTATTTATAACCGCATTGGTTCATTAACTAATCATTCTATGTAAGCATATGTGCTACTTTCAAGCAGGTGGTAAGCAATCAGAGTTCCTTTTTCCTTTCCATCTTTCATCTTTCAGTTCTTACTACGATGCTAGGCCATAGACGAGCCGTACCGGATTTTTCGGTGATTCGCGAATCAATGCCCTCAGCTGGGTACCCTGAAAACATATGCCCCGCTTGTACCCCAGACACAAGCAGGACCAACCCATCACCCTCCTATCCCGGGTGTCTAGGTCCCCGTCCAAACTTGGACTCCAAGCCCCCGCCCCTGAGTCCCGGACTCAGTGCGGTGCAAGGACCTCCTCCACCAAAATAAAACCCTGACAGTCGGTCCGGAAAGAGCCGGATCCGCGACAAGAGAGTAACAAGTCTTCCAATCGCCCATACCCAAGTATGTGCTCGGGATAATAAGTCTGTAATTTGCCTCTATGGCTTATGCAAAGATCGGTCCTTAACCGACCAGACAGGGAAAGTAGTGTAACCAAGCTATGCCCCGCGTCCACGGCGACACAACGTCTTACACCCACCAATACCCAAACCATATCCCTGTCCGGTCACCATTTTCCTTTCCACCATTTATTTTTTTCAAGTGATAATAATATAGTAATATATTTCCTATCTCTCGCGAGTGACAGGTAATCACTCGACTTCTACCGGAGTCCTGTAGCATAGCATTCTACACGATCCTGTCATACTAGTAAGACTCATATGATAAAGATATATATGCAAGTGGGTTTCATTCAACTCCTTAAAACTTAATGCACAAATATAATTTAAACCGCAGAAAAGTAGGGGTTATACATCAGGGCTTGCCTGGGTAAGATATATTAAAAAGTTAGTATTTGCATCTTCACAAGCTAACGAGCTAGTTTTAACGTTGGTCTACGTATCCATGTTGTCGAATAAGCCATAATTTCCCAACAAATATTTTAGTTATATAAATCCAAGTTGTTTCTTTATTTCATTCTATCGATTTAATCATTATTCGAATTAGAGCATCATTATTTATCTAGCAAACTAATTATTCTAGTGCTACAAAAATTACAGCGAGTACCTAATATTGCTAGGAACCTACTGTACAAATTTTAGATTCAACAATATTACCAATTTATCATGAAAATTCCTACAAGTTTATCTTTTTATAATATTAAGTACCTTAAATTAATTATATAGCTCCCAAAAATATTATCAAACTGTGTGAACAAAATATACTAATAGGTAGATCATGATTTTAGAGACTCAACAAAACTTGTTTCACCATTTTTGGACTCCTATACCATTTTATATTGATTTTACAATTTAAATTAGAAACCGTTTTTAGAAAAAGCATTTCGAAACTAGAAAGGCCGGCGGCCACTAACTGGCCCAGTAGGGCACGGCACGTGAGCGGCCCAGTAAGCCAAACGAGGGCGCGCGGCCCAGAAGGCACCAGGCCGGCCTAGGCGTTGACAACCGGCCGGCCCAGCGCGCGGTGAGCACGGCCCAATGCGGGGCAGGGCGCGAGCGGCCTAGCAACGGTGGACGTGCGGTCCAACCGGCGAGCAGGCCGGCCCAAGAGGGGAGGCCCAGCGGCGGCGGCGCCCTTATGCGAAGACACCCCATGCTTTACTTAAATTAATCTACGGTACTAACGTACTATTTACGTGAGTCTCGTATTTTGCAATAGGGACCCTGTATTAATTCTATTCTTGGATCCTCACCCTTCCTTCCTTCTCAAAGCAGAGCATGGAGCAGAGCCACCGGCCGGCGGCGGCGGCGGCAACGGCGCGGTGGGGCCGGGAAAAGTGCGGCAGTGATGGAGAACTCACCGACGAGCTGCATAGGGACCCACGCGGCCATGGGCTGGCCACGGCGAGACCGGAGCCGGGCCCCGGCAGCCTGCCCGCACGAGGCGTGGTGGCGGCAATCCGGTCGCGGCGGGGAGCGACGGTGGCGCGGCCACGATGGGACGCCTGGCCACGGCGCGGAGCTGGATGAAGGTGCAGGCTCAGCGCGAGGTGGCTACGATGGTGGTGGGCGCAGCGGCGAACAACGGCGACGATCGTGGCTTCTCGGCGACGCGGGCGGATGGCGCAGTCGACGGTGGATGCGGCACGACGACTACGACGTACAGCGGTGCTGCAGCTGCCACAGCGAGGTTTGGTGCCAGGCACGCAGGACTCGGTGTCCGGCCGGGCAACGTCGGCTCCCAGCACGGACGGTGGCGGCGTGGGACGCGGTGAGCTGCGGTCCAGAGCGGCCGTGGGGGTGCAGCGACGGCCGGGACTAGCACGAGGCAACAGGGAGCAGGGAGCAGGGAGGCGCGACAGTGGCTCACGCGTGCCTGCGTGCGCGGTGGCCGGCGACGAGAGCGCGGCCACGGCGGGGAAAAGCACAGCGCGCAAGGGACAACGTGGTCGTCGCGGCTCAGCTCGGTTCACCGAGGGGCACGCGTGGGGGTGACGGCTCAGGAGAGCAAGCAGAGAGGTCGAGAGCGCAAGCGAGCATGGAGGGAAGAAGTGTGGCTCTACGCGCGGTGCGTCGGTGGGGAAAACACATGACGAACCCGACAATTAAAGACGGAGCGGACCGATCGGCAGCGACCACGAGCACGTGGCTCAGCAGGCGAACAAACATGGAAGGACTGCGCGATGCATCAAATCGAAGCAAGCAGCCAGCGTAGCCAGGCCGGCAGGCCCACGTGCGCGAGGTCGCGAGGAAGCAACGTCTAGTACTCTCCTAGCACGGAGCAAACCTCAACATCTTCATGCGGAGCCACTCCTTTCGGACATGGCCAGTACAGAGGACAAACATAGACAAGACAGGGGCAGACAGAGGCAAAGCAAAGGTAAGAACGAGCCGACCCAGCTTGGCGGAACTCTGAGCCAGACCACGGTGCCGCGACAACGACAAGAGCACGACGGGACAACGGAGGCAGTGCAGA